GAGAATGTACTCTTAACTGGATTTGAAGTTTTACATGATGAAAGTAAACTGTTGATAACAGGAATCGAACGTTTCCTAATCGTTAAATGTTTATCTATATTTACTTTCTCACGGTATTTTCAATATTTTTAATAAATTCTAATATTGTTTTTTTGTGAATTTACAGGTAGTGAAAAATTTTCACCTAGTTGTAGAAAACATTGGATTTCATATGGAATGGTTATAGATTAATAATTCGCGCATTAATAAAGAGATAAGTGGTTCAGTAATTTATCACGATATAATCGACGATAAATTAATGAACCATTTATCTTTTATCGTTGTAAACGATGGATCAGGAATCCTATTATTAAAAATAGACGGATTAATATATATCTCTGAGATTAATTATTCGGAATTTAATGATAACATAGGTGAAAAAATATAAAAAAGATGGTGATTTTTCTGTGATGATGTAGAAATACAGACATTAGGATCCTCACGATATGAGCAAACATAATGTAAAGATTTAATATTTTTCTTAAAGTCTTTTTTATGTTTAAGAAGTAACCACTGTGTTTTTATCCATTTTCTTGTGTTCATGTTTGGAGACATGCCACAAATGATCATTTTATCTAGAAAAGAAAGATTCACAAATGTGAGATGGAATGTGTCGAGAAATTTCCTTTACTAAGCATAAAATCTCATATTGTGAACGTCTAATAGTCCTAAATGTGCCATTTAATTCCAAGCTAAGTAATCTAAATACAAAGTTGTGCTTCTAATGCCCAAATCTTCTTACCGATCGGTAATCATTTAATATTATGTTAGATTTACTAGTAAGTATATAAGAAAAGTGTTGTACAATATTATTCGAAATTCAAAATTTTAAAAATCTAATTCTAACTTTGCTCTTAATGATATAATATTTCGCTGTTTAATCCAAGATTTCATGAGTCTGACAGGGAACTCACCAAAAGTCAGAAAAATAAAATTAAAAACGTATAATTCACGAAACGCATAATTTCAGCCTGCGTAAATTAATAAGAAATATTAGTTATGGATGACTCTCGAAATTAAAATAATATAGGAAATTAGGCAAATGAAAGTTCGGTGCGGTACTTAATGCATAATCATCTATCTTTTTTTTTCTTTCTCCGTCCATTTTTCTCTCTCAATTGTGTAAAATTAAAATGAAAGAATAAAATTACAATTGTTTTCAGTTTGAAGAACCTATTTATGGTACGATTGATCTCAATTATGCGGATTACATGGCACCAGCATACATGTTAACGTAAGCAAAAGTCAATCCAACACAATGAATGAAATCATTGCTGTTACTAAACTGTTTATATATCTTTGCAGACTTATCTTCTTTTTAGCCACTACAGTCTCTACTACCTTAATAATTACAGATCGGATGGAGGGTGTCTGGGATCGAAGCGTAGTCCAAGGTAATTTACTAATTTAGGTCCGCGAATTCATAGTCCTTCTTCAGATCTCAAGTCTGGTCTCCAATATCTAAACTCGGATTTCAATCTTGAATCTCCAAACCTAAATTTCAGTATTAGTAGATAATCATCAAATTCAGTTCTTGATGACTGTTCGTGACTGAGCGGAAAGTGTGAAAATAAAATAAAAACGTGGTGAGGTTACAAGATGCAATCAAATGTAATCGTCCGAAAATCCATTTAGAAAATCTATTTTTTTAAGAAAGTATGAGGTAAAGAATCAAAATATTTATAATATATAAAATATTTATAAATGGTAAAAAAAATTTCGCTGAAATTATTCTACGTTTTGGAATATTTCAGCGAAATTGCTGAAAACGTGCTGAAATTTCACTAAAAGTGAATTTTTCGGCTAACATATTGAAAAATCGTTGAATTTGAATAGAAATTCCTCTAAAATTTTGTTGGAATTTTTTTGAAATATTCACTGAAATTTCTCTGAAATTTTGGTAAAAATGAAATTTTCAACTAAAAATCGCTGAAAAATTAAACTGAACATTTTCTAAAATTCTGAAATTTTGCTGAAAAGTGTTCCAAAACGTGAAATAACTTCAGCGAAATTTTTCCACCAGAGAAGGTTAAGTAATGATATTTTAGAGGTACAAATAAGCCATGGTGGAAAGAATATAAGGTGAAGTATTCCCGTGGATGCGCAGTAGGAGAGTGAATTTAGGTAACATTTGATTGGCTGTTCCAGTATAACCAACGCTATTATACGCAAGAAAGTGCATATTGGGGAACATTTGATTGGTTATTTTCAGTATTGCTATCGCCATTATGCGCAATGTTTTACCTTATATTCTTTCCACTATGTAAATAAGCTACTCAATAATAATTCTCTTTGTCAAAAATTCCTAGCTTACAATAGACCGTTGCAAGACTTCTTCATCAAGCAAATCAGAGCGGTTGTTTTCAATGCGTTCAGAGTACTAATACAAGGATGACTAATCACTATGGATAACGTAAATTCTCTCATACAATATGTAGAAAAACACCTGTTAGAGGAGAGAGTGGTGACCGTCACAGACATAGCTAACCAGCAATTAGAAAAATTAAGGGCAGAGAGTGAGCGTTTGGTAGGGAGGCTTTTTGAAGAAAGTAGCACCTGCTTGAACAAAAATTATTGTAATATCTTCTTAGTTTCACCGGAAGCCAATTTTGTAAATATTCTGAGATACGGGATGCTGGTTCTGACACTTTTACCTAAGCGTAGCTGTACAGTTTGTAATTTATCATATTTAGCGGGTTACATGTTACGTAATGTATACGCTATGCAAGATAACTGAAAAAAATATTAGTGCAGAACAGAGTCCAGAGAAAGAAACATTTTCAGATATGGTCACGGATGGTATCATTGGAGTTAAGAAAATTGAAGGACATGTAACTATCAAGCGTAGTTGCAACGCTGAAATGTTCCACAACGTAGAATAATTTCAGCGAAATTTTTTTACTAGGGTTATTATAAATATTTTATATATTATAAAATATTATTTATATATTATAAATATTTTGATTCTTTACCTCACACTTTCTTAAAAAAATAGATTTTCTAAATCGATTTTCAGTCGATTACATTTGATTACATCTTGTAATTCACCACGTTTTTATTTTATTCTCATACTTCTCGCTCAGTCACAAACACTTACGAATTTAAGTTTGGAGATAGGCTGGTGCCAAAGCGTATTTTAAATGATAAAAAAAAAAAATTAATAACAGGCAACGACCGGCTGGAAAATGAAGTTAAGGTTGTAACAAAACGAAAAAAAAATGTTTAAACACGAGATAATGTGAAATGGTGAAATGGGGGTGCTGTTTAGGGGTTGAAATCGGTTTTTCTCGACTTGCGGCGAAGGGTGACTTCCTAGTGGAGAATGTTCATACAAAAGTTATAGATAATAAAAAAATCTAAAACTTTTGTATTTGACATTTTTTAACATAACCTCAAATTTTTCGAGAAAATAACGAAAAACTGATTTTTCAGTCTTTAATTTTTTTCTCACGTAAAAATAATTTAATTTACATGAAATTTTGTGGAAGTATACCTTTTTTGCCTGGAATAAGCTTGATTTTTTTGGAATTAAAAACACACATAGTTTTTGAGATGTTGATACTTTTTTAAAAAACTACCCTCATCTTCCACGGATAACTTTATTGATGTTTTTTTTGTATTTTTATATTTATATATATATCAGTTTAACCGTTGAAATGTGTTTTCTTTCAAATGGTCTATGCATGTTGTAGGTTAAATTTTCATTAAACGGCTTAAAATTACGAAAAACCGGAAAAAGTGACTTTTCTAAACACTAATTCATCATTTCTCTAATGATTTTCAATTTTGTTGTTATTTTTGTTAATAATTGACTACATTCTAATGACAGGACGTATTGTAATGTAATATTACTAAAGTTGATTTAATTTTATAAAGGAAAAAGAGGAAAGGTACTAAAAATAACATTTTAATGGCTAT